ACCATAATTCAAAAAGACACATGCACTCCAATGTTCATTGCTGCACTATTTACAATAGCCAGGTCATGGAAGCAACCTAAATGCTCATCGACAGATGAATGGATGAAGAAGATATGATACATGTATACAATGGAATATTACTCAGGCGATAAAAGGAATGAAGTTCGGTCATTTGCAGAGATGTGGATGGATCTAGAGACTGTCATACAGAATGAAGTAAGTCAGAAAGAGAAAAACAAATTTCGTATCTTAACACATATATGTGGAACCTAGAAAAATGGTACAGATGAACCAGTTTGCAGGGTAGAAATTGAGACACAGATGTACAGAACAAACGTATGGACACCAAGGGGGGAAAGTGGCGGTGCGCGGTTATGGTGATCTGACAAACTGGGCGATTGGGATTGACATATATACACTAATATGTATAAAATAGATAACTAATAAGAACGTGCTGTTTAAAAAAATAAATAAAAGAAAATTCAAAAAAGAAATGGTGGAGCCAGTACTCAAGTTCAGATCTGGCTAATTTCATTCTCCTGTCCATTCTGCATAGTTTGGTCCTCCCTACATACAGACAGAAAATATGGATATCCTCTATGCTTCTTAATGGAAAATATGACATAAATTCATGATGTTCTAATCATTACCTCACTACCTAGAGTATGTGTGAATGTGCTATTTTTAAGGATTGCCGCCCTCCCTGACTTTGTCTGCTTGAAATATTTCTGCAAAGGAATACACTAGAAAAATAAGCACTATATAGGCAACTTGGGTTGTAATGATGTGAGTGGTGCAAGTTAGTTAAACATTTTAATACTAAGATATTTTTTCTTCTATAACAGATGTCACCTTTATCAAGTTGTGCAATATTAATCACTTCAGTATCACTAAAGGAGCTAGGTAAATCTACAATTTAACAGTCTGCCTCTGAGCAATGTTTCCTATTTAATTTAGCATGTTCCCTTTTCTTAGTAATACAAAGCAGGCCTCAAGAAAGAATAGTTTCAGAGAGCCAGTACTTTTTAGAGGTGGTATAATTAGTATTCTATATGCCATTAGATTTTCTTTAATCTTGTTGCATACCAAAAAACAAAAATCCATGGAAAAATGACAGAAAGTAAAATATTGAAGCAAATTCAGGTAAAAAAAAAAATACATGGCTGATTCATTTTGTTGTGCAGTGGAGGCTAACACAACATTGTAAAGTAACCATATGCCAATAAAATTTTTTTTAAATAATTCAAAAATGGAGATATAACAGCCCGCTTATATGGATTTAATTTAACATCAAAGTTTCAAATAAAAACTGGCTTGTGTATTTAGAAAAAAAAATACTGGATGTAACTGAACTACTGTGTCTTGAATCAAGTCCAAAATCCATCTCAAAATATCTAGGGTTATATTCTTCAAGGTCAGATGATGTTGATTTGAAAATCTCTCTGAGTATAGAATAAGAGCCAGGTGAAATACTGGAGATAAAGAATCTGCCATGGTATTGGTCTTATACCTTTTAGGTCATCTTCTCTATGAAAACTTCTCTGATATTCATATTCTCTCTCTCTCCTCACATATCTACACACATTTATATACATACATATCAGAAAAACCTACCTAACTCCACATGCATGTGTATGCATATTTTAAAAAGTCATTTATTAATTGTAGTATAACAAACATATCTTAAGTAACAGTTCAGTGAATGTTCACAAATTAAATGTATATGTGTAACTACAACCTAGGTCAAGAAATAGAATATTACCAGCCTGCCAGAGCTCCCTGCCCACTTTCTTGATTTTTGCTCACTGTTCTTACAGCTAACAGCATACGTTAGCTTTACCTGTTTCTGAATTTCATATGAATAGAATCATACAAAATGTATTCTTTTGTATATGGTTTCTTTCACTTGTTTGTGATTTGTGAGACTTGTTCATGTTGTTGTGAGTAGTAGTATTTCATTTATTTTAATTGACGTATTGTTTTCCATTATGTTTATCTATTCTACTCTCTATGTACATTAGGGTTGCTTTTGGTTTGGGGGGTATTATGAATAATGTTGCTATGAAAATGTATGTATATATACATGTATGTATTTTTAGATATATGTATGTATGCATGTGTATTGGGCATGCAGCTAAGAGTAGAATTACTGAGTCACAGGGAACGTATATGGTCATTTTAGTCAATACAAGTTTCCACAGTGGTTGAACCAACTTACATTCTCACCAGCTGTGTATGAGAGTTCCAGATCTGCTACTTTCACAATGCATTATCAGTCATTAACCATTTTCGTAGATTAAAATCATTGTGACTTTAAATTGCATTACCCTGATGATGAATGAACTAGAGAAGGTTTTTGTGTATATTTATCAGGCTTTACATATTCTCTTTTGTGAAGTGCCCATTCAAGATTCTTTTTCCATTTTTAAACTGGGTTTGTCCTTCCCTATTAATTTTTACAAGTTCATTATATATTCTGGGTATTAGTCCTTTTTGGTAAGATCTATTAAAACTATATTCTCCCACTCTGTAGTTTATCTTTTATAATCTCTTAATGGTGTTTATGAGAAATAGAGTTCTTAATTTTAATGTAGTCCAGTTTACCAATCTATTTTTATGATAAGTACCTTATGTCCTATTTAAGAAAATTCACCTAACCAAAACACAAGCAGATATTTTCTAGTGTTAACTTTTAGAAAAAAAATTTAACCTTTCATTTTTATATCACCAGTGCATCTGGGATGGATTTTTTTATTGTGGGATGTAGGGGTCAGCTTTTACATTTTTCCATATGAATATATATTATTGAAAAGACCACCTTTCCTCCACTCTCCACTATCATATTTGTCATAAGTCACAAATCATATGTCATGTGTAGGTTTCCTTATGGACTATTTTGGTCCTTTCTTCTATTTGTTTATCCTTGTACCAATATCATACTATCTAAATTTCTGTAACTTTTGATCTGTAGTGTATCTTTTTTTAAGATTATCTTGAATATCCTTGACTTCATTTCTACATAAATTTTAGAATCAACCTGTTAATATCAGCAGCAACATATTCTTTTTTAAAATGGTGGGGTTTGTATTGGAATTGCCTTAAATCTATATATCAATTGGGGGGTATCAAATTGGGGAGAATTGGATTCTCACAGTAAATCCTAAACAAAATATTTGCAAATATATTCCAGCAATATATAAAGAGGATGAATATCAAGATCATGTTGGGTTTATTCAAGGAATACAAAGGTTGTTTAATATTAGAAAATGAATCAATGCAATTCACCATGTTAACAGGAAAAAAAGCATCACATAATCTTCTCAGTGGATGCACAAAAATATATTTGATGAGCTTCAAAATTCACTCATGGTAGAAATCTTAGCAAACTAGAAATAGAAATGAACTTCCTTAATGTGTTAAAGAGCCATGTTGACATCTTCTTTCCTGATGCTGAGACTGGAACAAGAACATATCTGCTATACCACATTTTATTGGAAGTTCTGGCCAGCAGCAAGGAATCTAACTAACTAACTCAGACTTTTACTTAGTGGCTTCTGTAGAGTGGGAGTTCAACAAGACAAGTGGCAGCTGCCAGTCTGAAAAGTGGCAGAGTGTCACTTCTACTGTAGTTTATTAAAGTCATAACAAAAGAAAGGGACATAGCCCCCACCTCTAGATTGGAGGAGTGTCAGGGAATTTATCACCACAGATATGCCACACATTCGTACATGTTAGGAGCTGTTTATTTTTCACAATAAAACTTGAGCTCTGGGTTGGCTGAGTATAATATGAATCATTAATTTGCTTTCTTGGGGTCTTCCTGGGCTGTGCTCTATTGTTTTCATCACTGAATGCTGCTATAGAGAATGTTGTGGCAAGGTTCATTCTTTTCTGACTTTACAGCCAAATCGGGTTTTGTTTGTTTATTTTGCTTTTTTTTTTTTTCGCTTGGCCTAATTGCACATAGATATACACCTTCCTTTATTTTAAGGGAAATATGTCCCTCGGACATATTTTATGTACATATTTCTATTCCTTTACTATATATCCAGATGTATTATATACCCAAATTTTAACAAAATTTTATTTATTGTATGTATATATATCCAAACATTTATACAAACTTTTAAATATATATCAAAGATATACATTTATATGTGTGTATGCATATAGACATATACGCCCATACTTTTAACCTATATTTTGAAGTTCTATTGTTTTGCTATATTTTCTCAAATCCCTTCTTTCTATGTTTTCTACAGATTTCTTTTTATGCTTCTTATAATGTGAGTATCAGTGGTTTAATTTATCTTACTTAGCTCATTTATCTATTCCTTGAGTTCTTTTTGAGAGGGGAGGGAGGAGCGTATTGTCCTTAATTTTGTCTGTGGTTTTGGATATGTATTCCTAAGTCTGCAATATTCCTTTCCTCCTTTTAATCAGTGCATTTGCAGATTTCTCCTGCTGCTGCTGCTGCTGGCTCTCCTACCCCTCCTCCTCCTCTACTGCCTCTCCTCCATTGGTACTTATCTTGAATGGGTGTGATGGAGGTTTCTTTATTGACTGGCAGAGGAGACAGCTGGCAGTTTGAAGTGTGATCTCATTTTTGTTCCTGCCTGAGGTTGTGAGCTTTTCCTAGATTAGCAGAGAGATTTTCTGGCTTATAAGGATGTCAGGCATTTTGAGTATGATCCTTTAAAGAGGCAGTGTAGATCAATATAGTTTCTGTTCCACATTACCTTACCAAGAACTTACTCTGTAAAAATGGTATATCAGGATGCTGAGTAAAATGTAGGTCTCCTCTAGGGCCGATATTACCATTCCAAGAAACAGGGCATTGGTTTACTCCTCAGAGTGGACCCCTATTTTGGAAATTCCATGCTCTACCCACCTGTCTCACCCTCACAATGATTCATTATGGGGTTATGGATGTAGTTGATTCTTGTTTTCTTTGATATTTTAAACTCATTCTAACATCTTGATTTCCTTCTCCTTTTCAGATGCAGCAGCTGTTCCATGAAAATTATGAACACAATCGGAAGGGTTATATCCAAGACCTTCACAACAGCAAAATCCATGCAGCCATAACACTTCATCCAAACAAAAGGCCTGCCTACCAATACAGGCTTCATAATTACATGCTTAGCCGCAAAATTTCTGAACTTCGCTACCGCACCATCCAGCTCCACCGGGAGAGCGCTCTGATGAGCAAGCTCAGTAACAGCGAAGTGAGCAAAGAGGACCAGCAGCTGGGAGTGATGCCTTCTTTCAATCACTTCCAGCCTCGGGAGAGAGATGAAGTGATAGAATGGGAGTTCCTGACAGGGAAGCTCCTTTACTCAGCATCTGAGAACCAGCCTCCCCGACAGAGCATCAGCAGCATCCTGAGAACAGCGCTGGATGACACCGTCCTACAGGTGATGGAGATGATCAATGAGAATGCCAAGAGTAGAGGACGGCTCATTGACTTCAAGGAAATTCAGTATGGCTACCGCAAGGTTGATCCCCTGCATGGGGTGGAGTACATTTTGGATTTACTCCTCTTATACAAAAGACACAAGGGGAGGAAACTGACTGTGCCAGTAAGACGTCATGCCTATCTTCAGCAGTTGTTCAGCAAGCCTTTCTTCAGAGAAACTGAAGAGCTAGATGTCAACAGTCTTGTAGAGAGTATTAACAGTGACACTCAGTCATTCTCCTTTATATCTAATTCTTTAAAGATATTGTCTTCTTTTCAAGGTGCCAAAGAAATGGGAGGGCACAATGAAAAGAAAATACATGTTCTTGTCCCTCTCATTGGAAGGTATGACATTTTCTTGAGATTCATGGAGAACTTTGAAAACACTTGTCTTATCCCAAAGCAGAATGTAAAGCTGGTCATCATCCTTTTCAGTAGGAATTCTGGCCAAGATTCCAGCAAGCATATTGAGCTGATACAAGAATATCAAAACAAGTACCCTAAAGCAGAAATGACCCTGATCCCCATGAAGGGAGAGTTTTCCAGAGGTCTTGGTCTTGAAATGGGATCTTCCCAGTTTGACAATGATACTTTGCTGCTATTTTGTGATGTTGACTTGATCTTCAGAGGAGACTTTCTCCAACGATGTAGAGACAATACAATTCAGGGACAACAGGTGTACTATCCCATCATCTTTAGCCAGTATGACCCAAAGGTAACCAATGGGGGAAGTCCTCCCACTGATAATGACTTTGTCTTCTCAAAGAAGACTGGATTTTGGAGAGACTATGGATATGGAATTACCTGTATTTATAAAAGTGATCTTCTGGTTGCAGGTGGATTTGATACCTCAATACAAGGCTGGGGACTGGAAGATGTAGATCTCTACCATAAAGTTATTCAATCTGGCTTAAGGCCCTTCAGAAGTCAAGAAGTAGGAGTGGTGCATATTTTCCATCCAGTTCATTGTGACCCTAACTTGGACCCTAAGCAGTATAAGATGTGCTTAGGATCCAAGGCAAGTACTTTTGCCTCAACCGTGCAACTGGCTGAACTGTGGTTGGAAAAACATTTGGGTGTCAGGTACAATCGAACTGTATCCTGACAGTCCAGGCAACACATATTGCCTTTTTAAAGGGGAGTTTACCTCATTGTTGGTTGTTGTTATTTTTATTTTATTATTGTTATTTTTATTATTATAATTATTATTGTTATAATTTTATTTTGTTGTCCTGGTCTTAAACTACTCTTGGTTGTCTTCCAAAGGGTGTTTGTTGACCTCAAACAAGAAGAGTCTGCGGTTCACTGATATTTCAGATTTCTACTGAAGTCAATAGGTATATTACTTTTATATATCTTTGAGATTGAGATTGAGTTAAATTGTGGCAATCAAATGACTTTTGAAGCTCATTCATCATGAGAGACAGCTTAGAAGAATGTTCTCTTGGGGCTTAAAGATGCAATATCGACTTTTCTTTCGTTTGTCAAATTCAATGTGATACGAATATTTACTGGTGAAAGGTACCACAAAAGTGCTTTATGCTTCCTATGGGGAAGGGACTCTGTAACATAAACTTGAGTTTTGTAATTTATACAAGGACTTAAATATATAGACAGTAATTTTCTTCATCTTTAGAATTTTTAAAGGAAATGAACACTTATGATTGTATGTTTATTTTTTAAAAAAAAGTTTTAAAAATTGAGGAGTTTGTTCCACAAGCAACCGGTACTGGCTACCCTGGTCTTATGACAGTTATCTGCTCCTCACAACTGTCTGCTATAAATGCGAATGAATTTTATTTTCTCAAGGAAATATGATTTAATTAAATATTCATGTACATTTTAGAAGCTTTATGAAACAATGTCCTTCATTTGCTGGCAAGAAGATAAAATATGACAGAACCTGGTTATTTATAATAAAACACAGGTATAACAATATTCTTTTTCAAAAACACTGAAAACTTGTGTTGTTTCCTTCTAGTCAGTCATATTTGATGTATTTCTTAATGGTCATACTCACCAAAACATGCTTGCTACACAGGCTGGAAAAGTTAATATGGAATTATGGGCATGATATTTGTATCAGTATGCTTTAAGTCCTAGCGTTCATTAAGTGATTAAAATGAGCAGTTTTTAAGTCAGTAATTTACAATCCGGGGGAAGTATTCCTCTTCGATCTCATTAGCTTTGTGATCAAACTGAACCAAGAACAGGTCAGAAATGGCTTTTAATATGGATTGGTAGACGGCTCAAAGATACAAAAATAAATGCAGAAATTATAAATATAAAATTAATTTTACAAAAATAATACTGTAATTTATAAAACACCTAGGAAAATGTCATTTAATTTCATATATCATTCTTTCTCAAAACTGAATCAATGGTGCCCAGTTTGTAGAAAAATATAATCTCATTCAAGAAATGTAAGAAAAAATGAAAATCTGTACAAGAAGCTCTTATGAAGGCATATTTTTAAAATTTCATTTTGTAAATAGGTAATATATTTGCATAGTTCCAAAATCATAGAAAAATTTTAAATGTCTACAGCTATCAGTCTCACTCTCTATTCACTCAGATCTGCCCTCAGCTGCACATGACCACCATTTTAGGTGTATGTATGTTTGTGTGCATACTTGGCTAAAGTTTCATAAGGAGAAAAGACATGTATTTATTTTTTCACTATACACAAAATGCAGCACTTTTTACATCCTGTTCTCCACTTTGATTTTCTTTTTTCACACAAGAACACTAAAATTTGCATCAAAATTGATTTGAAAGCAATTGTAAATTGTTACCATTATTTGGAACTGATTGCCAAGAGGCCATATAGCCTTTGCCTTAGTAATGGGGTTTCTTACATGGTAACACTCTCTTTTAGTGAAGACATTTTAGGGGCTTCAGAAAAAATAACATTGCTTAATATTGTGACGAATATGGCACTCTTCTTGACTAAAACATGTAATCTTAATAACGTAAGGTTCATTAGAAAGGAATTCATGGCACTTTTATATGTTAAAAATCTTGACAAGGCCAACATTTCAGAGTTGATCTCTGCTCCAGTGTTGTCTCTGGCCTTCACAAACCCCTCCTTATAGCTATTTTCCTACATTATGTTCTTAGCGCTTTTATTTTCCTTACAGTAAATATATTAATATTCAGTAAAGATAGTCATTTGGGAAGATCTATTACTAGATAGTAATTATAAATGATTTTATTAATGTAGAAAAGAAATCAGGGTCTGTTCTTTTCTTTAACTTAGATAACTGAAATAGCAGAGAGTTTTCCTGAGGAATAAATGCAAAGGCCTCATTTAAAACCCCCCAAGTGTTAGAGAGTCATGAGGCACCTGCCCAGGGATGAAGTGGCATTCTCCGTTATACTGATGAAATTTTGCTGATGAAACAAGGAAATGCAGAGATCTCATTTGAACTTAATTACACACATGCACGCTATACTGAAATTAATACACGTACACTTAAATTCTATTTTACAATTTTGCATTAAGCTTTCCTATGATTTTTTTCAGGTACTGCAATATTTCTTGGCTGAAAATTTATTGAAATGATACTAGTAAAATTAAGAGTTTTTCTGTCCATGAGGTATTGCTTAAGGTTGAAGGGCAACACAGTGTGAACGCAGCCTGAAGCACAGTATGTGTACGTTTTTGGCTTCACCTTATTTGGACAGCTACAGATGTTCTATTTAAATACCACCTCAGCAGTTCATTAACCTTCAACATCATCTTACTGATCATCTTCTGTTCACTCAACACAACACTGTATGTTTTACTTATATTATCCTTTTAAATGTAATCCTCTCAACAGCTCTCAGAATACTGATTCTCTTTTCTTCATTCAACAGATATGGAAACTGAGGCCATGAGTGATTAACTTGTCCTGAGTTCACACAGTTGGCTTGCTGTAGAGTTAAGATTTATGCTAATTGCTGTCTGAATTGAAAGCACCTGTCTTTCCACTCTAACCCATGGCTTCTCAGTTTTGGGGGGCATATAGGGGACAACGGGGGAGCAAAGGTCCAGCTGACCTCATGGCCATGTTTGATCGGCCATTCAGCTTGCTTTGCTCTTTTCTCATTCTGGACAGAGATAAGTTTGCTGACCTTTTGCTCAGTTAGAGCCATTGTAGGCTTTTAATCTCAGTCTTCCCCCACTTTGCCAGCTCCCTTGGAGTAGCACTCACTTGGGGAAGGGTTTTTTCTATCTAATTGTTCACAAGTCATTGGACCTCAGCTAGCAGGAAAAAATGCTCAGAATTCCTGATGTCAGCAGTAGCCCTTCTACATGGGCTCAGCCAACTGAGTGCAAAAGCTGTCCACAATGAACACCACCACATAATTGCTTGACTATTTGTCACTTTACCCTAACAGACTTAGCATGACACAGCTGAGATATTTCTGAATCTAAGAGCTGAGCCCTTTGTGGGATGGGAACTACTGGAATGAAATAGCCCAGTATGTGGACTGATAGTCCAACCAAGAGAGTAAATGCTCACTGGAAAGGTAAGTTATAATATCCCTCTGTTTTTAGTATAAGAAAACTGAAGCCCATCTGTGGTCAGCAGCCCCATAGCTGGGCCACTCTGGTTTTACATTCAGATTAGCCCTGTGCAATTCCTTCTTCCAGGAGGAGGGCTCAGAAGATGAGGCCCCTTTCTAACATTTGGATTGCCCAGATGAGAGGCGGTAGTGCTGCCAGGACTGTTGAGCCCTCACCTAGGACTGCCTTGTCCTGTAGGGTGTAGCCTAAAGTAGACTTGTACCTAGAAAGAGACTTGGTGGCTCCCCTCTTTTCCTCTCTTCACCCAAAAGAAAATATGTTTAATCAGGTAAGATATATCAAGATAAGTCTCAAATAGCCAGTAAAGTATCAATATTTGTGGCTTCTTCTTGGCCACGATGATGAGATTTGCATGGGGGAATGAGGGCATCAACACACTTTACATTTCATGGCCATCTACATTTCCTTCCCTACCTCCTGATGCTTTCTGAGTCATTACACCTGTGGTCCTGCAAGTCACAGGAACTTAGTGTGCCTTACCAAAGGGATACCTCTAAGAGGGGAGTGCAAGTAATCTGGGAAATTGGCCACTTAAACTCTCATTTGTGCTTAAATATTGATGGCATATCTCTTCGGAAGTAGTCTGTGATTATGGCTACTGCAGGACATAGTAGGGTCCGGAAGGATAACAAAGGGATCTGTTATCAGTTCTTAGTGCTGCTGACTTGCCTACCTTCTCCATCTGCACTTTTATTAGCACCCTAATCACTGTCAAGCGTACAGTATAGGTAGTCTATCTGTGCTGAGACCAGAAGCCTCCTAGGTCTGGAGGAGTAGTAGCAACAGCAGAGGCAGGACAGAGTCCCAGAATATGCCAGTGGGCTCTGCCTCTGCACCCCACAGCCTTGCTCAGGCACCAGCCACGCTGTCAGGGTTGACTCGACAGGTGGTGGGTTGAGGAGACATCGGCAGTAATTCATGCCCCCAGGTGGCGATACAGTCACATCTGCAGCAGGCAGCAAACCACCTGGTGTTGGCACAAAGATGCCAGGATATTCTAGTATTGGCTTCAATTTGACATCCAATTGTCTGTTTCCCTGTTTCTTTCTCTTGTCAGAAGCTGCCAACATCTGTGCTATATTTGGAATTCTTCTCCATGCAGGATTTTATTTCAATCGAATTCAACCCTTGTTGATTTGTCCATAGGTTGGTGTAAAAGCTGAGACTGCTGAGTTTTGATTATCCCTCATGCACACTGGTATGCATTCTTGCTATGCTGTCACCACCCAACCTCAGTCTTTATAGAATCAGTTCTGAAGGAATTGGTAAGTATAAAATTTAGAAGGATAAACTTTTATTTAAGTTGGATCTACTGTAAAAAGAAAGATTTCAACAGGAAAAGAAAGAAGCTTTTTTTTTTTTTTTCTGGAATACTTGCCCTTAATCTGTAATGTTAACCGATTAGGAAATGTTTATTGAGACCTTGCTTGGGAACAATACTCTTAAGTAAAAACTCTAAGACTGTGAAAATATGCATTACCTGAAAGCAAACCTCTCACTACTATCAGGCCTCCTTCTGCGGAGCTGTT